TAACACGTTCTACAACTTTAATTAAAGATTCAAAAGATGCTTACTTAGTAAACAAAATACTTTTCACTGAATGAATCAGCATTCCACTACTATAAAAATTTATAATAAGTTCCGACTATGATACTTAGTAATGATTATACTCTTTAACTGCGAACTACCTCTTAATATAGTTTTAATAATATATAAAAATTTTTAGTCAAAAAATATATTATCAAAATTATATTTTATTACTAAAAAATTATCAAAATACTATATTTAATAATTAATACAAAAAATTTATTATATATTTATAAATTTTTAAAATACTTTTAAACTTATATACTGTGTATTAACAAAAATTTATAATATTTTACCCAAATTTAAATTTTATATAAAAAACTCTAAATTATAAGCTAAAAAAATTCATTTAGGCTATTATAATCGCAAACTTTAGCTAAATCTCAAACTCTAGCCAAATTTTAAAATTCTATTCCCAAATCCAAATTTTAATTCAAATTGCATCTTAATCCTATTTCAAATTCCTTAAATCTATACTGTATATTACAAATTTTAAAAAACAGATACAATAAAAATATATTATAATAAGACCAGATCCGGACAGAAAATGAAAATCTAAGCTTCTTAACTAATACTATTTACCTGTAACTTCACTATTAGAGCTATTTTATCAATTACTGAGTTCACATTGTTATTCGTGATTATATTGAATAATCATCACGTGGATTGGAACAGGATTTGGGATTTTGGAGATTTGTTTATGCAATGATATTTTAGGCATAACCGTGACTAGACAACCCCATTTGTTCGGGTTTGTCCATGTACCGATCCCAATTCCATAAGTTTTGCCAACAATAAGGTTATAAAAGCAATTAGTTGTATAGAATTAAAATAAAGTATAATACAGTTTATATATAGTAAATATTCACATATCTGAATTTACTTTGAATACAACAATTAATATGAATAAAAATACAATAAAATGATAAAAATTTATGAACTTTGAAATAACTTATTAAATGTACATATTGTATTAGTAAACAATTTACCAAAGGGGCATTCATAATTTACGTTAAATCAGTATTGTTATAGGGATCTTAAAAAAAATAATCCACGTGTCATTATCTTTAAGGCCCCTATCTTTATACTAGTTTAACGATGCTCCCCAACTAATAGGAATAAAAATAGAAAAGCCGTGTAATAGTAAATATCAAGCTTGAACTTCACCAAAAATTACTAAAAACTATCTAATCCATATTAAGTCCTATATAATAAACTTTAATCGTTAAATTTAATCAGGTAAAAAAGATTATTAAATAATATATGATCTATTTTTAGACTTCTTTGGCAATCCAGCAGCCAGATATGCTAATTGGATATCATACCCAGGTAAGGTATTTATTAAAAATATACAATAATTTATCCGGATAACCCAGATATTTCCTGATCATTATATAATCATGGAGTATTATTATCCGGCAGCTATTTTAATCGTACCAACAGAATAACTCGAGTTATTTTGATCATCAAATAATTTAGTTATTTGATGATGATGATGAAATCATCACCAAAAGAACTCGGGTCATTCTGTTGTTGGTTCGTTATTGAATGCTAGGCAGCCAATAACCTGGCAGTGATTTAATATGCGTCATTTCTGAGCCCCTTCGGGGGCACATATTACCAGATAATGAATTATTTTACAAAATAATTCTGTTATTGGCTGCTTCGCATCCAATAACTCTATATTATTAAATACCATGCTTTGCATTGTAAGACAGGTTTCGATCCAAACACTAATTACAATAACTTTCATCTTTAGGTCGTCTGAATAAATAATCTAATGAGTACATCTAATCATCACACATGTGGCTTGTAATTAATTAAAAAATGATCACGCGTTCTTACGATTGAGAAGATGACCGCGATGAGCATTCAATTATCAGATAATTTATATAGCGTACCCTCGCTCATGTAGTGATTTTAGCATAACCCTGCAATAAACTCACCGGTCCACCCTAAAAAAATTTTATTCGGACATTTCAATTATTTCTCCCTATTTTCTGTAAAGACTCCGTGAATCTGCGACATGATTGGGTAAGCCGAATAATTTCCATCATTTGAAGGTATAAAATTCCATAATGTGTAACATTTACAGTATGGATAAAATATGGATTAGAAAACACGGTGACCTCCCAAAAATACTCTTAACTCCTTTTCAAGCCTTCCACAACGCGTGTAAACTCATCAACGAAAAAGTAACACCTCGAAAAAAATAGAATTAGAATATCATACCATTTCTGCATTTATTTGACGATATCATTACTCCTTCTCCTTTTCGGCTAGAATAGTGAATTATTATAACTTTCCATGCTTAAAATGTGCGAGAAATACGTAATAATATAACGTTAAATAATATATATTTGTCGATTCCTTCTATTTTGAGCGTCCTCGATTTTTCTCGATTTGGATACTCCGATGAATCCGAAATTTTGAGTTTGCCTTGGGTACAGCTAAAAAATCGATGATGTCAGTTGTCAATTTTGATAGGTAATGATTCGGTGATCAACAATTTTTTAGTTTTCCTAAATACTAACGCTAATAATAATAATGAAAATAACCGCAATGGGACGTATCTATCTCTAGGAATGATGAACTTATGCAACATAAACATAAACACGAATACTTTGTTCAAACAGGTCGGTCGGTTCATTGAATTAATTTATGAGGTCATACTATAATATCGATATAAAAGGATAACGTGCGCTTAGATTAATTTTTCGACTAGAATAAACTAGTTACGTACAATTATCACGCGAGATGAAATTGACACTTTTTATATCAAAGCCAATGAAGATCACAACCAAAATAAAGTTTTTAAATGAAGCAGATCATTTTGCAAAAAGATCATATTGTATAAAAGCTTGTGAATAATCCAAAGAGAAAAATTACATCATTCTCAAATTAAAAAAAAAAAAAAATTTTTTCTTTCAAATAAGGACTAATTTGAATAATTATTACCACAAGATTTGTCACAAACAAAAAAAAAAAAAAAATTAATTTATTGCTAGTAATTTTACAATTTCTCAAGGTGCTTATCCTCTTCATGCCACGATATAGTACTTCCACTTTGTGGAGTTAAAGGTGAACCATCCCGTTTATCACCAAACAAACCTTCAGTATCATTAGTTTGAGAAGTTAAAAGTATACGTTTTGCTTGATGTTCATTAGAAGAATCAGTCATATTATTAGCCATTTCATTAACACCCTTATTATCTTCAGAATCTTCTATATTTATATCTTCGATATTACGTTTTCTACTAACTATTTTCAATCTAATTTTTGTTGGAGTATTCAACCTGAATTCAGGTGATGAACCTGATCTTTCATTAGCGTAAACCTCATGAAGTTCATAATTATTAGTTGAATCCAATTGTGCATCAATTTCTTCATTATTTCTAGTAATATGTTTATTAATTCGTCTACTCAATCTTCGTGATAATTTTGCAGGATCACGAACTTCTGTTGGAATATTTTCTTTGATTGAATGTCTCTCCTCAGAAGAAACCTTACTATTACGTTCAAGTTTACTAGATAATTTTGATAAAAATAATGCCAATTCAACCAAGCCTTTCTCTTCTCTTTGTGACAAAGAATCAGGATTTTCTAAATAATAAATTTTAATAAGATTTTAATTATATGAATTATATGAATTAAAAAATTTCATAAATTATATATATATATATGTTACCTTTAAGAATCCTATAATATTTCTTTCCAGCATACCAACAAATTTTTTCGAAATAAGGAAAACGATATTTTATGGGAACATCTACGCGTTTTTCTATTTCATAAATTGCCAATTGTCCACCGATATTATATCCATGCAAGAAATTTCCACCTATAACTATTGCATCATCGGGTGTATATACAGCATGAATCCAACCGGTTGGAATTATCCTAATATTAGATATAATTTTAGGGATTCATCATTATATCATAATCTACAAAAGAAAAGAAGGTTATGCAAAAAAAAAATAATAAAATATTATAATAATACTTGCATGGTGTTACCAGCACAAATTCGAACTTCGTAACAATCTTTAACCAAATCGGCAAAAAAAGTCATGGATTGTTCTGGTGATGATATCCATCTTGAATATTTTTTCAAGTTTGGTGGAGTAGGTCTTACGAAATAAAAAATTTTGGATCCTTTGATAACATGGTAAAATACGGAAGTTCCACCGAAATCGATATGAAAATCTGTAAAGCTATCTTTGATACTCATAAGACAATAAAGTTGAACCTTGGGATATTCAAAAGCTTTTAATTCTTTAGGCCATACGTTTTCGCACCAATCGAGCTCTCTATGGAGATGAGAACATTTTTACCAAGGAGAAACCGGAAACATTATAAGCTGGGAAGACAACGCAAGCATTATGAGGATAATGTAATACCCAATTGTCTTTTTTTTTTTTTTTTTTTATGCATGCTTTGCATATATGTATCTATTAAACATACATATATATATATATATATAATATGTACATATATATATATATGTATCTATCATATGTATCTATCATATATATTACTTCATTTATCTTTTTATCTATTTTATTCAAAATTTAACATACCTTACAATACGTGGTCGAACTATAGAATCGCCTAAAGGAGTTCCACTAATCTCCAAGCTTATAACATTTAGGACTTGATCACGCTTTGGTCCATCGAAATAATTAGCCCATTGATATAAATTCCAACTAGGTTGTTCTTGTTGTGTCGAAACATCTATATAATATGTATATTATCATTAATAAACTTTATTATTATATAATAATTTTTTATTATAAAATGTTACCAATGACGTCAACCGGCGTATCGTAACCTAAACAAAAAGAAAGTTACGTAATAGTTACCATTTACATCTTTAATATAAATTAAAATATATAGATTAAAAAATAAAAAATAAAAGTATGCTTACCAACAGTTGCTGCGATGTAACTAACAGTTATATCTTTTGAAGGCATTTTCATATCAAGTCCATCAGGATTATCTATAAGGATTGGTTCATCAAGTCCGAAAGTTCGAACCCAATCTAATGTTAATTGATCACCTCGTACTTTTGGAAATTTAGGTTTGACGAATAATTTTGAATCAAGAACTCTTTTCCATTTATATGGGTTACCAGTTAACCCATTTTCTAAGTCAGCATAATTAATCCTAGAATGTTCACGTAAAGATTTTCGTACTTTATCTAAAATAAAAAAAAAAAAAAAGATTAGATGGTCATTAAAATAAATGTAATGACGTTGATATTAGAATGTATAAATGGTTAATTAAATTTCAATTGACTTTAGAAATAAAAAAAAAAAAAAAAAAAGAAATTTTAAATGAAAGCAAATTTATCGCTTGTGCAATGTAATTAATTAATTTTTATAAATTTTTATATTATAATTTTTGCTTACAAGTACTTGGACCATGAGATATTGCACATTTTGGACAATGATATTCATCAATTCGTTCACATTCTTCGGATGGAAGTTTAAGGCAGGCTGCATGACACCAAACAAGACAAATATCACATTTTATCCATGTTTCTGTATTCTCTTGAAACCAAAGAGGCATGAACCGAGGTTTATTATCACATAACGGACAATTTTCGGCTTGAGGTGCCTCTGCTTGTGTTGAAGACATCTTTATAAGTCGTTAACTAGAAAAAAAACTAGTTTTTTTTTTTTTTTTTTATCAATTAATATTAATTAATTAATGTCTACTTTTTTTTTATGGGTTAACGAGTGATTACTTGATTAAGAACACAATAACTGAGTTCTCCTAAATCTAAGGTATTTTAATATTATGACTAGGACATGAATTAATTTTGTAAGTTGACAATCTAAAACAAGACGAAAGGTTATGAAAGAAAATAGCTATCTCGAAGTTGTCTTAACTAGTCAAAGTAAGAAAAGTCCAAGCTTCCTGCACAGATCACACCATATAAGTTTACGATGCGGTCATAATCACGTGCAAACTCGCCACTTTCCTTATTTATGGTATTGTAAAAAAAAAATAATGCAAGTGGCCATTGCGTATATATGGTAAATATGTATTATTTCAGAAAAACGTCATGTCAGATAAAGCAAGCAAACGTGTAAAGGAAGAAGATCCTGAAGTGATCAAAACAGAAGAACAAGGTAATGTTCTGATTAAGCTTAAAGCTTGATCGGTCAGATTTACTTTGATTACAAAACTCTTGCTGTGTGTGCGGAACTTAAAATATAGTATATTTTTACAGATGACGACGATCTTGACATTGGGCCATCTTTACCAACGGCAGATGAATTGCCGAAAAAAAAGAAAAGGAGTAATTTGATTGATTTTTATCTTTACAATATTTATTTTCATTCGATATTAAAAGAATCTTTATGTTTTCGTAGCTTTGATTCATGAAAAATTATATTTGGATCATTTACCATCAGCTGATATGTATGAGCGAAGTTATATGCACCGCGATGTTTTAAATTACGTAGCTGTTACAAAGTAAGAATTATATTATTCAGAATATCATAGAAGCAAACGTAGATTAACAAAAGTATTAACTAATGCTAATTAATTATATTGACTAATGATATGGTATTTTAAATAAGAACGGATTTTATAATCACAACCTCAGTTGATGGGCATTTGAAATTTTGGAAAAAAAATGAACGAGGAATAGAATTTGTTAAACATTTTCGATCACATCTTGGTATTTTAATTTTTTACATTTTTTCTTATAATTTTATTTTTGATTGAATTATAATGATGAATGTATTTTGTTCGTGTATGACAGGAAACATAACAGGTATCAGTGTATCTGCAGACGGGCTATTACTTGCCACTATAGCCGTAGACAAAGCACTGAAAGTATATGATGTCATAAATTTTGGTAACTTTTTTTAAATAATAATTATTATCGTCATTTAGTATATCAATTAAGATCATTATGAATATCAAAATTAACCTTATTCCATATTCAGATATGATCAACATGATGAAATTTGATTATGTACCCAATTGTATTTGTTGGATCCACAAAAGAGGACAGGCACAATCTCTAGTTGCTTGGTAAATCATGTGACGTTGATCATATTCATATTTAACCATATATTTAATTTTAGAATTTTTAGAGATACTAAATTTTTGATTCATTTTCTACTAGTTCAGACCATAATTCAGGCAATATTTATATTTATGACGGAAGAGGTGATTCCACACCATTACATGTACTCTCAAATATACATTCCAGTCCCGTTCATTTAATGGCGGTATGTTGTAAATTCATATTTGAATCATTTTATAAGGATCTCATATATCATATACGATGATCTCATTTTACAAATATGAATTTTTTAGTACAACGAGGCATATCATTGCGTTGTATCAGCAGATTTATCGGGTATGGTAGAATATTGGTCACCTGATGAGCCTTTCGAATTACCAAAAACAGTTTCGTTTGAATTTAAATCAGACACTGATCTTTACGAGTTTAAAAAGGTAATACCCAAAAATGTTCAATCTAATTTATATTATTTATATTATATATTCACATATCATAAGAAATTTTTTTTTTTTTAGTCCAGATCTGTTCCAACATCATTAACATTTTCACCAGATTATACACAATTTGTTACCATGAGTATTGATGATCGTCAAGTACGCGTTTTCAGGTTTTCAACCGGAAAGTTGATTAGAAAATATGATGAGTCTTTAACAGTTATGGGTGAAATGCAACAGGTTAGTTAAATAGTTACAGACTTCATATATATATTATTATATTAGCTAATAAATAATTTATACCACATACTATAGGCAGGTACTACTGTTTACAAATTAGATGATATGGAGTTTGGTCGTCGTTTGGCTGTCGAACGTGAATTGGAAAAGACGCAACAAGCTAATACTATGAATGCTGGTAAGACCAAATTAAATTGAATTAAATTAATATTGTTTATTGTTTACTGTTTATAAAAAATAATAAAATGACCTTTATAGTGTTTGATGAGACCGGAAATTTCATAATTTATCCTACGTTGCTGGGTATCAAAGGTTCGCACATTTATTTGATGTTGTTTGATGTAGTTTGATTTAATACGTTCTGTACATAATGTTTATTTTTTTTTTCAGTGGTTAATTTAACCACCAATAAAGTTGTGAGACTAATTGGCAAGACAGAACCTCATCGTTTTTTAAACATGGCATTGTATCAAGGAGCACCAAAGAAAAAAGGCATTGTCACGTTGGTAATTATTTTGCACTCTTTTTTAATAAATTTCTTTTTTAGCAAATTGTAATTGATGTGAATCACTTTTCATATTAAGGCGATGGCAGCATCAGACAATCCTCTAATGAAAGAAAGTGAAGAGACAGATCCAACATTATTTTGCACAGCATTCAAGAGAAATCGATTTTTTATGTTTACACAGAGAGAACCTGATTCGTTAGTATATATATATTTTTTTTCGAGAGTTTATTAACCATATTACCCAGAGTAACCGATGTGAAATTTTATTTAGACATGATTCACATAAAGGAGATCGGGATGTATACAATGAAAAACCTTCACGTGAAGAACAAACAGTCGCCTCAGCTACGCCAACTAAACAAAAATTGGGAAATACGGCGATTTTACGTACTACATCAGGAGATATTCATATAAGATTATTTCCTGAATATGCACCAAAAGCTGTTGAAAATTTTGTAACACACGCAAAGAATGGATATTATAATAATGTGATATTTCATAGAGTTATAAAAGGTTTCATGATCCAAACGGGAGATCCTCTCGGTAAATTGATTAATTAGTTAATTAATTAATTAGAGAAAATTCTATTAAAAAAAAGAATATTAAAATACATTATTATTATTATTATTATTATCATATGAATAGGCGATGGAACTGGAGGAGAGTCGATCTGGGCGTCAGATTTTGAGGATGAATTTCACAGAGATCTCCGTCATGATAGGCCATACACAGTAAGTATGGCTAATGCGGGACCTAATACCAATGGATCACAGTTTTTTATCACTGTCGTTCAAACGGTAGGTTAAAAATTCTATATTACTGTATTAGGTTTTTGGACTTTTTTTTTTTTTGATTCAGAAAATGATAACCATTTGGAAAATTATATAGCCGTGGCTCGACAATAAACACACTATATTTGGACGAGCAACCGCAGGAATGGATGTGATTCATACAATAGAAAATGTAAAGACAGATAAATTGGATAAACCGTATGAAGATATAAAGATTCTTAACATAGAGATTCGATAATAATTTTAGAATTTAGAAATATATATATATACAAAAATTTTTTTTTTTTTATATATAGTATGTACAAAGGGGTAAGCCGATATTTACACAACCATTTGTAATGTCCGTTGCTGATTTCATAAAAAATAAAAAAAGATTAATTAATTGAATAATTAATTATGAATGCTATAATTTTTTGTAATTATTATAATTTTGTAACGATTATAATATTATAATTATTATAATTATCAGTTATTATATAATTAATAATAATAATTATAATAATAATAGTATTATTATTATAATCGTTAAAAAATTTTTCAAATTAAAAAAAAAATAGATACATACGTCAATTCATAGTACCATATTATCAACAAAGAATACATAAAAATTATTTAGGAGGACCAAACATTTTAGCTTCCATTAATTCTTCAATACAATCAACGCTAGCCGAATGAATTAATGAAGACATATTCTCAGTATTCTTAATATCAGACCAATGAGTATGAATAAAATCATAAGCAGCATTTTTTAATAAAATCTTACTACTAAAACTATTTGATTTCCAACCAATTTCTAAAATTTGATCCCAATTATCATAATCAACCATACGAATAATTCTATCAGCTACTAAATGAGTAAGTTGTTCCAATCTCATCATATCAGCGTTAATATAAACATCCTTAAGAATAATAAAATCTAAATTATCATCTAATTTAAGAGTATATAAATAATAAACTATTGTACGAAAAGTATCAAAAGGAATATGTTTTATTGGAATTGTTTTTAAACTACCTTCTTTCCAAACACCACCCAAAAATTTTTCAAAATATTCAGATCTTTGAACTAAAATTACTCTGTGAGCTTTTATAGTACGAATAAATTTAGAAGGTTTAGATAAATTTCTTGAATCATCACAATTTAAATTAATAGAAGATGAAGTTGATGAAGAAGATGATGATGATGATGATGATGAAGAAGGAGAATCTTCTTCAAAAGTAAAAGCCACATCATAAAAAGTTTCAGTATTAAAAAATTTTTCAAAAGAAGCAGGGGAATTTAAATAAGGACAAATATCAGTAGAAGAAGAAGAAGAGAAAAGACCATTAGATAATAATAAATCAGAAAAAGGAGGTAATAAAGAATTATTATTATAAATATGAACACGAACAACCAAATCAACTTCATGAATGTTTATATCATCAAAAGGAAATAAATCATGAAAAGTTCCTAAAGTAGGGAAACCATAAGTAGAATTTATACCATGAAATTCGAAATCCCATTTTTGTAAACTACCTTCATAAATTAATTCAGCATGTTCTTTTGAAGTATCTTGATTTAAAATAGAATTTGAAATATTATTTCTTGAAAAAGTTGAAGAACTATGATAATCATTAGATCTATTATTATTTGAATTATTGTTTAATGTATTTGTATTTGTTGTTGTTGTTGTTGTTGAAGAAGTAGTTGATGATGATGATGATTGAGAAGAATTTTTAATTAAACGATATAGTAAAAATTTAAATTGAACACTTCTTCTAAAAAAAAAATTTTGTTTTTCAAAAAGAGTTTGAATTGCCTCTAAGTAAATAGAAATGTGACCAGTACAAGATTTTTTAGTGGAACCATTAGGATAAATCCTCATACGCCATAGATAAGCAGAATCGTCAGTTGAAAGAGGAATATTATTTCTTTGTCTACGGTTAATATGATTAAAAGGATTAGGTAATTGAGATTGAGAGTGAAGGTGAGATAAGTGAGGAGGTTGTAAATGAGATTGTAAGTGAGGTTGTAAAGGAGGCTGTAAGTGAGGTTGTAGGTGGGACTGTAAATGAGGTTGTAAGTGAGGTTGAGGACATAAAGAGAAGTCACTCGTCCAAGTTCCAGGGTGGCATAATAAATTAGCGTCAAATAAACCTCTTGGAGATCTAAACCTGTCACTATACAGGTAACTATTAAAAGACATGAGTCTAACTAATTCATGAAAACCTCTTAACGTCCAAGAATGAACGTAAGGTTGTTGTTGTAAAGTTACTATGTCGTTTGGAGGATGATTTATTGGTAATGGTTCAGATATTATCGAAGTTTGTGTTTTATCCATGTGTGTATTTTTTTTTTTTTTTTGATTTTTTTTTTTTGTGAATAATAGGAAAAGGATTGATATATATATATGTGTGAAATTCAAACAAGTATTTGATAATATAAATAAAAAAAAATTTATAGCATTGTTTAAATAAATAGATAGCTTAGATATATTTTTTTTTGAATGGTCTATTTAGGGCTAGACCCGTTCGCTTACCTTATATTTCTGTTTGTCACTTTTTTCATATTTCCATATATCAATGTTAATATATAGTTTATATATGGATCGTATGATAAGATAAAGTGAACGTGAATGATCCACTGCATGCAAGACAAGCTTGAAACCGAAACTCGATTTTTTTTTTTTTGTGATAAACAGTACGTATAACACAGTATATACGTATATAACAGTATATATAACAGTATATATAACAGTACGTTTACCAGTTTCTACAATTACTAAAATACGTAATTGGCTTTTTTATCCTATAATACGTATTGAACTCATAAAATAAATTAAATACAAATAAAGAAATTAAACATGACTATAGAACAATAAAAAAGTAGTTTGTATCGCGCTCGGAAAATACACGTCGGGAACCGGTGCAGTATGATCTTCAATTATAGAAATACAGAAACTAAAATAACTAAAATGCAGAAAAGTTCGGAAAAACTACTGCCGACATAACGACATAACATAAAAGCTTATCAATTATATATCAGTTTATAACTTTTTTATAATTTGTACAAAAAAAATTACTATTTTTTCTTTTGTGGTAAAATTATGACAATGACGGAAATATGTTTTTTTACGGTCCGAAATTTAAATCAGCCTTTTAAGATGCATAAATGATAAGTTTTTTGAAAAAATTACATAATCTATGATGGTCGTGTGTGTGACAACAGAAAACAAAAAGATCCGGTGACATCCAATTTTCGAAGTGGCTATCTAAAAGTTTCATGATTGAATTTCATGTGGCGTGTTTATTGTGTTATATCCTTTTTTTGTAAAAAGTTGTTCTTTTATATTTATTACTTGATCTGGACTTTATCTGGTCTATATACAGATATATATACAGATATATATGTGGTATTCATAAATTGCTACCTGCTACATTAGTACATACGTAATTCTATACTTTTATTTTTTATTTTTTTTTTGATATTTACTTGAATTAGCCAAAATCATAACCTCAAAGAGAACAATAAGATTTATTTTAAATTATTATTCGGAGTCAAACTCCTATTTTTCTTTATTTTCTTTTTCTTTCCTTTTTCTTTAGTATCATATGAATAAAAAATTGAAAATTTCAAAGAATTTCAAAGAAAGTGAATAAGCATTAATCCAATAATCCATTTTAATTTATATTAAATTTATATTTAATTTACATTTAATTTACATAGAACTTTGCTTTTATGTATGTGCGTTCGGTATGTACTGTACGTACGCACGTATGACACTAACGCAAGTAATTAATTTAAAGAATTATTTGGTTACGAATATTATTTTTTGAAGTATATATTATTTAAATTATTTTAAATAATTTTTCATTTTAAAATACTCACAAAATTAAAATTAAAAGTTTCCTACCTATTACATTACAGTATAAAATGTTTATCCATTATTTGAATTTGTGTGATTTCTTGGACTTTATTTTATTTATAATTCGCTCCTCAACATTTGAACATAACGATAGTTAGCATGTTTGTTTTGTTTTGTAGCTACTGTGCACAACATTTGATTATGAAAAAAAAAAAAATCTTTTTTTTCATAATGCAACATGATCAATTTCGTATCATTATAAACCAAACAAGTTTATTGGTTTCTTATTATTCTCTCTAAAATTTGAAGGTATATCGATTAAATAATACTAATATAACCTAAAATATATATAGATGCTTATATAATTATCTTGCTCTTTATATTTATATATATACTATAGCTTATAAAAAATGCTAACAAATATATGTATATGCAATATAAGTATGTGTTGGATGAGTCAAAAATTTCTAAAAATTTTTATTTATAGGAAATATAAATAAAGTCTTTCGGCTTTCTTATAACGATAGGCGTAAATTCTCGCGTATCTCTAATATATACAGTAATCGTTAATAATGCTTCAACAACCTTTTTATTTATAATCGATTGATTGCAGATCGTGTAACAATTTAGCCAGTTAGGGTTGTCCAAATGTAGATTTTAATTGAGTTTCGTCACACATTTATGCGTAAAATGTATAACCGATAAATATTAAAAATAATTTCGTTTGATTTATTTTTGATTTCGCGTGCTTCGTATACCTGATACGTAGAACTAAATAATTCTGGTGTATTTTGATCGGTGATTTGGTAAGTCATTGAAAGTCTGGCTCCAGATAAGAACAAAGTATTGCTGTATTGGTCGATCTAAAAATATTACAAATAAAAAAATTCTCATTTACAGTATTTATTCATAAATAATACAGTATATATCTGATTTATATCTGATTCAATGTAACAATACCCTTCAGCAATTGAATAATGTTATTCATTATACAGTATTAAAAAAGTTAATCTTTAAAATCTATACCTATTGAATCATTTTCTAAATATGTATTTACTTGTATTTCTATATTTTTATTAATAATGATAAAAGTTTTTTAATATTTTTTTTTGGCATTTCTTTTGGTATTACTAATTATGTAGATTGTATGTAGATTGTGTTTATAAGAAAGAACTCTAATGACAAGTATTACAGTATAAGTTTTAAATTGGCAAGTATCTTTATTAATAAAGTATTTAAAAAAAAAATCAAAATTTTTCCATTTTAAATTTTAAAAAAGCTATTATCCATATACAGTATTATCAAAGATTAATACTTGTGACAGACAAGCCACCGAAAAATAAAAAGGAGTTAGGATTAAAGGTTAGTTTTAGGGTAGAGCTTATAACAAACAAGTATAAGTGGGTTTTAAAGGGTTAAATAGAACCCGATTAAGATCCGCTAAATCATTTTGTACGTATTAACGTTAATAAATCATTATTTATGTAGCTATGTAGGTTATGTAGTTGTCGCAGAAATTTCATAGAAATAATTACCGATTAATTATTCGGTTGACTATCGTCATAAATTACCGTTACCGTTCTCGGTCATTTTGTTGTCATTTTGTTGCCGATTACCGGATAAATTAATGCCGATGTCTTATCAATTATTATAACGATTAACTTTTTTTTTAACGATAAATGTCCCATATCTGATATGCAGATCGGCGTAAACCATTACTAGGCGCGTAAAGTGACATTTTGATCTGTTAGATGCTATTCGGCTAAATGCATCTAACAAATCTTAACAAATAATAACGTTATCTGGCAAAAAAATTTCGGCCGTTATCGTTATGCGGCCAATAATTATATAATTATCCGTCAAAAATTTTTGCCAATTAACTTCTGTTATTGATCACTAACGCGCCTAATAACTATATCAAATATATTACAATTTTTAATTATTAGGATTACCATTTATTACGTAATTTTAAGAGGGGTCTATCATGTATATATATAACCATTTTGATTGGCTTCACTAAGGAGAGGAGGGGGCTTGGTTGTTGACGGGTCACGGGTCAAAAATAGTTGAAATTTTTTGATTACAAAAGTCCGATTCAAGTATTTACTATATATATTATATTAATCATAATATAATTTAATAATATAATAAAATTCTATAAACTTCTATACAGTACTCTTTAAACTATTGACCCAGGTAATAGCTCTAAATACAGTATAGGGTCATTACATCAACTTTTTGTAAGTGTTTTATAATTTTTTCATATGACCCGTTAACCCGGTCATGACCCAGATCAATATCTGATCCGCCCGGGTCTTTATTTTCTGACCCGGGTAATAGCTCTAAAGTGCTCTTGGAATAGTTAAAGTGTCTGGACTCCTGGCATAGTTAATACTGTAATGGTTGTTAAATTAATTGTAACAACTGATACTGGTAACGATTTGCTAATTTGACTACCCTAGTATTATTATAGATATATAAAAAAAGACCTTTTTTTTTCGGTAACGATAATATTGTTAATTTAATATTTTAGATATACTACCGCTACGTACGTATAATTACAGTAATTGGTTTTGCGCCACATATTAATTTATCACGTGTAAGTGAAATTAACATTAATAACGTTAATGATTAAATCAGATTAATCGATCTATAACAATAACGATAATTGTTTCTTTCGATTTTTTGAAGAAATGCTAAAGGAAGGACAAATAGTTGCTGCAGAGGGTGAAGAGGTGGAAGAGGTTACAATAGAAAATTCCACTACAACAAATGAGACTGCTGTGAAAAAAAAAAAGAAAAAAAAAAAGAAGCCTGCGAATGAAAATGCTGAGGTAGATTCCACCGATGCAGGTATTAACTTTACCTAGCTCGCAAAGATTTTTTAACTGTTTAACTTTGAATTTATAAGCCAAAAAAAGTAACGCTTATAAATTTCAAACTTTAAAACAAGCGAAGGAAGAATCCACCCTAGAAAAGGAGGATCTTCCACATAAGAATGGTAAGATAAATGGCGAAGACGAAAATGACGAGGAAGAGGAGGAAGGTGAAGGTGAAGCTGCGACAGGAGAAAGTAAATTATCATTTTTAGAGATGAATGACTTTTTTACAAATAAAAAATTGCATTTGATCTGATATGCATGTACTTATATGTAGCTCCCAAAAAAAAGAAAAAAAAGAAAAAATCAAAGAAGAAATCAACAGCAGCTAATTCTACTGAAACAGTTGGTTCTACAATAATTCAGCAAACTGAACCACCTTCAATTCCTGTCAGTAAATTTTTCCCAGATAGCAAATATCCTGAAGGTGAAATATGTGAATACAAAAATGAGTAAGCTATACCTAAAAATTTTATAATGGCATCGAATCGAATTATTGAGTTGATAACTTTGTTTCTACTTTTTAATAGTAACCTGAATAGGATTACGAATGAAGAAAAGCGTTATCTTGATAGGATGCATTTCGATGATTTTAATGACATTCGTCGCGCAGCGGAGGTTCACAGACAGGTATTTTTTCAATTTTCAATAAAATTCAATAAAAGTACTTAACATGTTATTAGACAATTGATTTTGTAAATTGGTTTTATAGGTGAGGAAATATGCACAAAAGGCTATAAAGCCTGGTATGACGATGATTGAAATATGTGAAATGATTGAAAATGGAACACGTACATTAGTAGAAGAAAATGGCTTAGAAGCTGGTAAATATATATATTTCTCTTTTATTCTTTTTTTAGATATTTTAGAAACCCGTTTGCTACACTCTGTGGTCGTTCGTATAAGTTAAATTCTTATGAATCAATGAACGATTACAATTTTTGTGCAAACAATATTAATTTCTCAGAAACCCACTAGTCAAGAATTTTTTTTTTTTTCTTTGAATCGATTTTTAACCGATTATGGCAGGTTATCGGTTTTGACAGGATCAGCTTGGAGAGGGCCAACAGTATAATGCTGCACTATGATAGTAAATCATTTGGTATCTAACACCTCAATAATGAATTGAATATTTAGTCTGCTAATATCTTAGTTTTTTTATACATCCTGTACTAATTAGCCGTGTTATGTATTATTAGAGTAGCTTAGTCGTGCCGCAAAAAAGTATCGGTCCCGTGATTTCTGAGCCAATTTGGTTATTTGATCGGAGCTTCAGGCGTCAAAGTGTAAATGTGAATTGTGAAAAATGCAATAAACTTTGAAATTATTTGCTGAATAATGTGTTGGTTGATTAAGTATATAACCACAGCATAAGTATAAACAAATATATTTAGTATTCTCAATTATCGTTATTGAAAAGTTTCTTTAGTTAAAAGTTTTTTAAATGGGTTAATTAGGGTTTCAATTAAGGTAAAAACTTTGATTGATTAGAGAAGATTACATATAGCACTGCTAATAATAGAACAGTATGTGCAGTGATGACGATTATCACATAAAAATTTTATGCCGGAGTAGCTCGGAGATCACAGGACCGACACTTTTTTGCGGCACAACTAAGCTACTCGTATTATTAGTTAATAATTCGATCAATCAATTAATGCTAATAATCATTATTAATTATTAATAATTCAGGAGATCTCATCAATCACTAACTGTGAAATATATTTTAAAGCATTTTTGCATCATTGGATCATCACATGAGCTTGAAATTCAATCTTGTCAATTAATTATTATTCATCAATTAAACAGAAGTTCTTGAAGACATGTATGGTGCTGGAAGCCTATACTCAACGGTTACACAAAGTGTTTCAATTTTTTAAATAGCTATAACTTTTCTTCTAAGAGGTTTTAAAAAAATCTGACCGGTAACTTTATAGAGATATATTAACTCTATATATGTGCCAAAAATCTTTTCAAAATCTCATCACTGTAAAGAGTTGATGCATTTTAAAAATTGAAATTTTATATGTAAATTTATAAATTTACATATAGAATTTTAATTTTTAAAATGCATCAACTCTTTACAGTGATAAGATTTTGAAAAGATTTTTGGCATATATGTAGAGTTAATATATCTCTATAAAGTTACTGGTCAGATTTTTTTAAAACCTCTTAGAAGAAAAGTTATAACCATTTAAAAAATTGAAACACTTTGTGTAACCGTTGATTATAGGCTTCCAGCACCATAGCAAAGATACAATTTTTTAGAAATATTAAAAAAAAAAAAACTAATTAAAATAAAATTAAAATAGGATTTATATTCTCTGAAAATTCAAAATTGCTAATTTTATAATTTACAATTTAATTTTATTTATCGAATGCGAAAAAATATTGGATAAGTATAAAAATAATAAAAACAAACGTACTATTTTAATTTGTATTCTGGGGGTTTTTTTTTTTTTTACATTAACTTATTAAACCTATTTGATGATCAAATTACAAAAATAATAGTCATATAATAAATTGTCTAACCTTTCGAGTTAAAAATCATCACCTCTACTAACAACCTAAATTCCGTGATTTTAATAAATTAGCATAATTGAAGAGTACAAATGCAATATGTACTGTACATATTTTTAAAAAAGAAACTTACTTCTTTGCAGGTCGGCCTTAGAATTAAAGTGTGCTCAAATTGTGCCGTGTATGAACCTTTTACGTCAACTAATGGAGGATAAGATTCCACTACACCAGTATCAACTAAATGCTTTAATGCTAGTGCATATTTAGTTTCTCCTATACGGTCGAGATATCGACGGCAAAATGGCAAGGTGCCAAAATGCTTAGTAATATTGTTTAAAAGAGATTGGGCTTTCTTTACACTATATGCAAAAACCAGATTATTTGTTGGATTTTTAGAATAGAATGATTAATTATATTACAGTATTAAGGAGCTTACAAAATATCCATACCGTAATGTAGCTTGAGCATCTTGACGTTTTGCATAATGACTACATTCACCATCTTCACGAACATAACCCTTCCCCGTGCTTCCAAAGGTTTCAATAGCAAAATATTCACCCTCCTATATAATAATATATGTACATGTTTGCTATTTGTGCCCATAATATTTCATAATATTCACATATTATATTAAATTTATAGTATTTACCTCCATTTTTGTTGCTGTTGCGCTGCCTTTGACGATCGGTACAGATTTACCGGCGTGAATTTGGTATGGAAGTATCGAGTGTCCGTTCAAATTTCGAATCGGTTTCACTACATAAATATTTTAAAACTTTTAATACTGAAAAAAACAACTTGTAATCGTCGATAAATTAAATAAATACCTTGATATGTTTTTTGATTAATTTCGACCTCGTAACTCTCCATAACTAAATTAATAATTGATATAAAAAGTTATCAGTAATTGAACATATATAAATATATTGATTATCACCGAAACATATTAATTTACCTTCTTGAATAGCGGCACCGATATCACTTAATCTCACATCGATACCTGCTTCCTATTAATTATAATAATATATTTTTCAATTGTCAATAATTGTTCATTTAATAATAATAATAATAATAATAATAATTATACGTTGATAATATACCCGAACACCAGTATTAGTGGCATCTTTAACAGCTTCTTTGAGACGGTCATAAACAGGGTTAAAAGTAAGTGTGAATGCACAATCAACGATGCGACCTATAAATTTCAATACAAACCATTAAATTAATCAATGAATCAATGTAATAACACATTACAATTATAAATAATAATCAGTATAAAACATTACCATTGACGTGTGTTCCAAAATCAATTTTACATACATCATCATATTCAAGAACCGTTTTGTCGCCAGCGTTGGGTGTATAATGAGCTGCACAATTGTTCAGTGAACAACCAGTTGGGAAACCAATTCCTGTAATATCAAATTAAAAATGTATCTCATATGATAGACCAATCGATTCAAAGAAAAAAAAAAAAATTCTTGACTAGTGGGTTTCTGAGAAATTAATATTGTTTGCACAAAAATTGT